ATGGTCTCTAACACAATTCAGGCTTCACCTTCACAGGTTCAATAAATGGCCTCTATGAAGGCACTCCCCTGAAACACATCTGGCCTCAGTGGCTTTCCTTAGCTATATAGGGAGATTCCACAACCCCTTCTTGTATCCTTGACTCTAAAGCCAGAAATGCATGGCTGCGGCTGAAGCTGCCAAGTTCTGCTGTTTGCTGGAACTGGGACTTACCCCCTTGCTCAATTACATTTGCATCAGCTTTCTTGTGGGGTTTGAATTATGCAGGCCCATATTCCACATTGTCTGGTCTTCAGAGAATCTGAGCAACTTAAAAGACACAATGTGCACCTTCCACACAGGAGGTAGTTGCCTGGCTCTTTGATAGCAAAACAACCTGACACCATCCTAACAACTGGTGCCAGGATATGCTAATGTTGTTCTGCTCCTTCTATTGTAAATTATGAGGTCACCTGGGGAAGTGGTGTTTTTCAATCTACATGATAAAATAGCCATAGGCAAGAATGTGCTCTAAGTCATCCTCCCCATCTAGGAGACAATGCTAATAAAGTTTGTGTTACCTGCCTCCCATCAATTTACCTTGATATAAAAGCTGTTTGGCAACCCTAAAATGGCTCCCTTAATGTAGATATCTTCTTCCCTGCTCCTATATCTGCCCTTCCTCCTTCTCCACCCTCTCATTCCCACAAGCTCTCCCCAGTCTTTCCCTTCTCCCTTCCCTCTCCCCCTCTCTTCTTCCCGCACCCCCCCCCCCCCCGCGGCCCCCACCCCCCTGCTCCCAGCTTTTGCCCAGCAATCTTGTTTGCTTCCAATTTCCAGGAGGATCTATATATGTTTTCTTTGGATTTACCTCATTATTTGGCTTCTCTAGGCTTAATGTTCTTTGTTTATGGCTAGAGTCCACTAATGAGTATTAAGATTTTTTAAAAATGCTGGGAGGTCTCGGGCGGCAGTAGGCAGGCAGCAGGCTCTGGGAGCAGCCAGTCCCAGGCAGAGATGGCTGCAGATCCCTGCAAGATCCCCAGCAGGCCATGTGGCGACAGACAGCGGGCTCTGGGAGCAACCAGTCCCAGACAGAGATGGCTGCCGGTTTCTGAGTGGTGGCTGGTCCCGGGCAGGGAGACACATGTCGGGCAAGCAGGAGACAGAGACATGAATAGACACAACATGTAGAGTGAGGTTAAATATTTATTCAGGGGATTATGGAGGGGGAAGGGAGAAGTGGGGGGGGCAGAGAGAGAGAGAAGATGAGAAAAAGACAGAGAAGGGGGGGGAAGCGGAGAAACGCATACGTGCACGCCAAGAGGGGACAATGAGAAGATAAGATGGCAAGAGGAGGGCTCTAAGATGGCGGGAGGAGGGCAGGGGTCGCCGGGAGTGGGAGTGGCCTGTCTCTTAAAGAGATGAAAACCATAACAGTGAGTACAAACCATATTCATCTTTTTGGGTCTGGGTTATCTCACTCAGGATAGTGTTTTCTATTTCCATCCATTTGCATGCAAAATTCAAGATGTCATTGTTTTTTACCGCTGAGTAGTACTCTAATGTGTATATATTCCACACTTTCTTTATCCATTCTTCCATTGAGAGGCATCTAGGTTGTTTACAGGTTCTGGCTATTACAAATAATGCTGCTATGAACATAGTTGAACAAATGCTTTTATAGTATGATAGGGCATCTCTTGGGTACATTCCCAAGAGTGGTATTGCTGGATCCTGAGGTAGGCTGATTCCCAATTTCCTGAGAAACCACCACACTGATTTCCAAAGTGGTTGCACAAGTTTGCATTCCCACCAGCAATGGATGAGTATTCCCCTTACTCCACATCCTCTCCAGCATAGGCTATCACTGGTATTTTTGATTTTAGCCATTCTGACAGGTGTAAGATGGTATCTCAAAGTTGTTTTGATTTGCATTTCCCTGATCGCTAAGGAGGTTGAACATGACCTTAAGTGTCTTTTGGCCATTTGAACTTCTTCTGTTGAGAATTCTCTGTTCAGATCAATACCCCATTTTTTTTAAAATGGGTTAATTAGAATTTTAATGTCTAGTTTCTTGAGTTCTTTATATATTTTGGAGATCAGACCTTTGTCTGATGAGGGGTTGGTGAAGATCTTCTCCCAGTCAGAAGGTAGCCTTTTTGTCTTAATAGCAGTGTCGTTTGCTTTACAGAAGCTTCTCAGTTTCAGGATCACAGGTGTCCACAGGGATGTCCCCAGCTAGGTCCTTGGACAGCAGAGGAGAGGGTGTCTGAACTGTCCTTGCCCCACTATCACACTGATGATTATCTTGAATATCACCATAGAATCTTTGTCCAGCGATGGATGGAAATAGAGACAGAGACCCTCACCAGAGCAATGAACTAAGCTCCCAATGTCCAGTTGAAGGGCAGAAGGAGGGAGAAGACGAGCAAGGAAGTCAGGACTATGAGGGGTTGTTCCACCCACGAGACAGTGTGCCTGTTCTAATGGGGGCTCACCAAATCCAACTGGACCGTACTGAACAAGTGGTGTGGGAGAACTGTCTGTATTCTGTCAATCATATTTTAATAAAATGCCGATTGGCTAGGCAGGCAGTATAGGTGGGAAAGCCAGACAGGAAGTAGGGGTGGAGCAAAGAGACTGGGAGTATTCTGGAAAGCAGGAAGCTCCCTCCGCAGTTCTGCCCAGTCCACCGAAGAGGAAAGATGTAAGCTGTCACACTGAGAAAGGTACTGAGCCATGTGCTAACGTAGATAAGGATAATGGGGTAAAATAAGTTATAAGAGCTAATAAGTAGCCTGACCTAATGGGCCAATCAGTTTATAACCTTATGGAGTCCTGTGTGTAGTTACAAACGAGCATGTGATCAAATCGGACTCTCTGATTGTGGCTGACAATGGGGGCTGATTGAGAAGCCATTGATAAAGGCACTGGGACTTGTTTTTACTGCATGTACTGGCTTTTTGGGACTCTAGTCTATTTAGATGCACAGCTTCCTAGGCCTGGATGTAGGGGGGAGGGCCTTGGACTTCCCACAGGACAGAGTTTCCTGCCCTCTCTCAAGCAGGGAGAGGGAGGGAGGGGGAGGGAGGGGGAGGGAGGAGGGGGGAGGAGAATGAGTAGGGGAGCAGGAGGGGAATAGGAGGAGGGGAGGAACTATAAATTTTTGAATGGAAAAATAAAAAAATTTTTAAAAAGCTGTTTGGAAAATAAACACGGGTGATTTCAGGACTTCAGATTTCAGGATGTGAATGATATCTGAAAATCCCCTCCCAATACTGCCATGTGAATTGTGTCTTCATTTATTCCCACACCTCCACTCTGGTACAAGAAACGATTTATGTCTGGGCTGGTCCCTGACACTTCCTGATGTTGATGGTTTCCTTCACATCTTAAGCTGTTCTTTAATTCCTTTTTATAAATTGGAAATAGAGCTGTATGGGGTCTTGCCCTGAGGTCACTCCTTCCTTTATTTCATTGAGTTTCAAGTTTTTCTTTAAGCTCTTTAACTCCTTGAGCACAGGAATTGGCTCCAACATCAAGATTTTTGATGTTCTTTTTCTCTTCACACTGTACAGTTTATACTTCTCTTTGCCCAGCTTGCTCCTTTTCATTATAAATCTGTATAAGAGGGATTACTAGCCGGGTGGTGGTGACACATGCCTTTAATCCCAGCACTGGGGAGGCAGAGTCAGGTAGATCTCTCTCAGTTCAAGGCCAGCCTGGTCTACAGAGTGAGTTCCAGGATAGTCAGGCCTGTTATACATAGGATACAAGCCTATGGGAACCAGGGAGGGGAATGTGGATAATAACCACATGATATAGTGTTAATATTAGGCTGTCTGGAAATTTCTACTCTCAATGTCAATAATTCAAAACTCTTCAATTTAGCCTTATGTAGATTTTTTAGGACAAGAGCAAAAAGAGGCCACATTTTTTACTAAAATATCCCAAGAATGATCTCTGTTAAGTTGGGAGCATAGCCCCCAGCCCCTAGCCTGGGAGTTGCTTTGCTCTGGACTCCAAATCCCAGCATGCCAAACCACTCCCACAGGGTATTTAAGTGGCCTCCTAGAGGAGAAACATCTGGTTTTCGGGTCTATATGGGCTCCCTGCTGCCCTGTCTCCCCGCCATGCGCTTGGCCACCTGAGAGCGTCTTACTTAATAAAACGATGGGCATTTTGATTTGGTTTAATTCGACCTAATTGGATTTCTTGCACCAGCGGAGCTGCTCTTTTTCTTATCAATCTCTAGGTCATTTGCTAATATTCTTCACCTCTGAAACCTGGAGTTCAGCTGTTACAATTTGCATGGCTCTCACCACTGCTATATCCCACACTCCTTTAGAATGGCCCATTAAACCCTACTGAAAGCATTCAACCACTTTTCTAGTCCAAAATCTTCCATATTCTTCCAAACAAACAGCATGGTCAGGCCTGTCACATAATACCCTAGTCCCTGGCACCGACTTCTTAGACACCGTTCTATTGCTGTGAAGAGACACCATGACCAATGCAAATCTTATATAAGAAAGCATTTAATTGGGTGCTTGTTTACAGTTTCAGAGGTTAGACCATTACTATCACAGTAAAGAGTATGGTAGCACGCAGGCAGACATGGGGCTGAAGAAGTAGCTAAGAGTTCTACATTCTGATCCATAGGCCAAGAGAGATACTGGGCTTGGTATGAGATTTTGAAACCTCAAAGGCCACCCCCAGAGACACACTTCCTCTAACAAGACCATACTTCCTAAACCTTCTAATTTTTTTCCCAATAGTGCCACTTCCTGGTAACTAAGCTTCAAATATGTAAGCCTATTGGAATCATTCTTATTTAAACTAGTATAGTGCAATAGATGTCAAAGGGCTGTAAATCCTTCAACACATGGTCTTCCCCTCTAGGAGTCCAGGAGAAGGATGAACAGTATCCACAATAATCTAGGGTTAAATAGAATAAGGAATAAAATGAGAATCTAATAGAAGCAATGACAATTACAGATTTTGAAATAATAGCTTACCCCAAGGAGTGCTGAAGTCCTCTCCATTTCTTCTTTGTCAACTGGAATCTTATGGTTTTCCATCACTGTGAATCAAAATCAAAAGCAGATAATATTTTCATTGCATTAATCAATCCTTTTCAGTAGACTGAAGAGCCCTACTCTCTGATGACCTAATGATAACAATGCTCATTGACCCAGGCCCCACTGTAAATCAACTGCTGTTCTGTGAGGAAACAGAAGCACAGGAAGAACTGGCTTCCTGGGGATACACTCTAGTAACAGAGCACTTGCACAGCACAAGCCAGGTTCTGGGTTCAGTCCCAAGGTGGGAAGGATGTTGGACTGCACTGGTTCCAGCCTGGCCCTTTGCATACTCTAGATGGAAAATGACTCCTGGCCTTGTGGCAAGACCTGGTCAGAGGCGAAGATGGATAAATCCCTGGAGGGTGCTTAAAGGAAGTATCTCTAAAGGAGAACTAGCTGGAGGACTAGCCTGAAATTGAGATAACACAGGTGGGTAAGTGTCAATGAGACCCCCTTCTGGCTAGACAGAACAGGAGGGGTCTCCATGACTGGATGCCAGCCCTTCAAGTCCTTCCAGACCAGGAGGTGATGTAGCCTAAACCATCTCGTTGCAGAACAGAAAATAATATGATAGCAGCCTCTTTGGATGAAACACAGTACCCATTCCATTAAAGGATAGAGAAAAGTCATTCTTAAACAATGTAAAGATTCTCCAGAAAGATGACTATACTTTGTTTTTATGGTAACTCACCTGCCAAAATTGGTATCAAAGGAAGCTCCAAAGTACAAAATAGTTGCCATAAGCCATAAGCCTGTTTATGGAAGAGATAATATCAATATTGCTTCAAATTATTATCTGCATTTTGTTGAAAAGCTACTTGACTTTGTTATGTTAGGATTAATGTGACCCCTGTCTAACGTGGCTCCTCCTACTATCTTCATTCTTTTTTAATTTATGTATTTTTACTTCATGTGCATTAGTGTTTTACCTGGATATAGGTCTGTGTGAGTGTTGGATTCCATGGAACTGAAATTACAGACAGTTGTGAACTACCATATGGGTACTGGTATTGAACCACAGGTCCTCTGGAAGAGCAGTCAAGTGCTCTTAACTGCTGAGACACCTCTCCAGTCCCTCCATTCTTTTTTTTAATAAAACTTTTATTTCTATTACAGAGAATATTTTATTATTCTCTAAATATCTGGTAGAGATATTCTGAAATTTCACAAGACCTTTGCTTTCTTACTTTGAGGAGTATTTGCATGATTTTAGTCTTCCATTTTAACTACAGAACGGTTTACTGAATTCCAATCATTTTACCTAGTCTTCATCAATCTTGCATTGACTCTACAGACTAGTCAGGAATGTTGGAATCATTATATTAGGCCACCTGTTTTAAGAGCATGAAATCTGTCTACAGCAAAGCACTAGGTTGAGTTTCCGGAGACCAATCCAAGAGAGGGAGAAACAATAATATGAGCAAAGGGGTCAAGACCATGATGGTGATACTCACAGAATGACTTGAGCTAGTGAGAGCTCACTGACTCTGGATTGATAGCAGGAAACCTGCATAGGACCAAACTAGGACAGCTGTGAGACTTGGGCAGTCTGTGGGGCCACTGGCAGTGGGACCAGGATTTTACCCTAGTGCTTGAACTGGTGTCTTGGAGCATTTCTTTGGAGAGATACCTTGCTCAGCCTAGATATAGGAGGAAGGGCCTTGGTCCTGTCTCAAAGTGATGTGTCAGACTTTGTTGACTGCCCCATGGGAAGTCTTACCCTTTCTGATAAGGGGACTGAGGGGGGCAGGAAGAGGGGAGGGAATGAGAAAGGGGCTAGCTATGTAAAATGAGAAACGATTGTATTAAAAATATTCTTACATCAAAAAAGCATGAAATCCTTCCTCTTTTATTCATATCACCTTCCATGTTATTTATTTATAGGCCCTTATTTATACACATGTGTCATGTAGTTCAGTCTGGACTCAAACTCTCTATGTAGATGAGGTTGCCACTGAACTTCTTCCTGCCTCTGCTTCAACTGGGATTACAGGCCATGTTTACCACACCTGATTTTTCATGATGCTTATTGGAGTTTTTCTTATGTTCACTCTTTTCTGCTGCCATCTAAGAGTGCTGGGCCTCACCTTCTAGTTCCCCTCAACTTCTCTGTCTGTCCCTGCACCCTAAGGTAGGCTGATCCTCCTCTCCAGGACACATCACTTGGGCTCCTCCTCAACCCTTAAGACAGTTTTCTTGTTTGGGCATATGCCTTACGGCAGAGGAAAAGAGAACTAGCTTTCATTATAGCCCAGGAATGGAAAAGTCTCCAGCTATAGTTGTCCTTGGAAGCATCTCATCTTGCCAGTCTCCTTCACCTTTGCCTCAGGACATATTCTCTCTTCCTTCAGGTCCTCAGCTGTTCCTCCATTGACTACAGCTTCCCAATAAAAACCTAACTGAAACAAGTTGGGTCCATCTTGTTGCTAACAAAAGTAAACCTTGGGCATCCGAAACATTCTAGTTAATTGTGATGCTTTGAAACAATTGTTTTCAATATGCAGAACACATTTTAAAACTGTAGGAATTATTTTAATCTTTCCTTTTCTGAATGAGGCATAAACTAATTTGGCATTAGGAAAACATCTCATGTCATATTGAAAACGTAAGTGTGATGGGTATCAATGAAAATACAGGCTTTATATAGCCAGAAATTACAGTATTAAAAAAAATGTCTTGCCTTCAGCTTGGAACAGAGATCCATCGTGAGGTCGTAGAGTATCCTCAGGTTCACACACACATTCTGATTCTTTAAAAACGGAATACATTAAAATTCAGATGAACATGGCAGCAATTTTCATCATAGTCTGGAAACTGATATGACTTATACAAGTGTTTCTGGTGACATGGTAGGATGCTCCTGACAAGGTCCCTAACAGAAAAGTACCTCTGTTGTGCAAGTTAAGCTGTCCACTTTCCCAGCCCAGCATTTTCTTTCTTCATTGTACAGATAGAAAAATAGAGCTCCCAATGCCTGTTGCAATGATTATATGATTTCCAGAGCCAGAACAAGAGTTCTCAAATCCCACAGCCTCTCCTCCCTGCTCTGTCACACAGCACCACTTCATGGGTGCTACATTCCACACTAACCTATCCATTAATACCCTAGGACAGGTCTGAATAGAAAAGCCCTGAAAGTCACAAACATTTTCAAAGGACAGAGAGGGGAGATGGGATAAAAGACAGACCCTCAACACACAATTTGTGTCCTTCCTAACAGGGATCTTCCAGGACCTTCTACTCAATATCCCACTCTACCAAAGAACCCCAAACTCTGTATTGCTCAGATTTATCTCTGCTAAATCCTCACATTAGAAGAAACTCAAAATATGTTGGTGTGGGAGAATTATCTGTATTCTGTCAATCATGTATTTTAATAAAACGCTGATTGGCCAGGTAGGAAGTATAGGTGGGTCAACCAGACAGGAAGTAGAGGCAGGGAGATGAGAACAGGAATATTTTGGGAAGCAGGAAGCTCCCTCTGCCATTCCTGTGCAGACCATCGAAGAGGCAGGATGTAACCTGCCATGCTGAGAAAGGTACTGAGCCGTGTGGCTAACGTAGATAAGGATAATGGGGTAATATATGTTATAAGAGCTAATAAGTAGCCAGAGCTAAGGGCCAATCAGTTTATAATCTAATGTAGACTATGTGTGATTTTCTTTGTTGCATGCCGGCTGTGGGTACTGGGTGGGATAGAAACGCCAACAAGCCGGCCCTCATGTTACAATATGTGGCTACCAGTTGGATATATGCTAGCATGCTTCTTCAGTCATTTCCTGATCTTGGCTCTCCCATCAACAACTCAGGAGTAATGAGGTAGAGGACCACATCTATGCCGCCACCTAGAACAATCCCACATGGTTTCCTGAAACTTTCTCAACTCCAAAGCGATCGATCATAAGCTTCCTTCCTTTTTTTCCCCTTTGTTTGGATGGGTTTTTGTTTGTTTGTTTGTTTGTTTGTTTTTTGAGGCAGGGATTCTCTGTAGCATTGGCACCTGTCCTGGAACTCACTCTTGACCAGGCTGGACTTGAACTCACAGAGATCTGCCTGTCTCTGCCTCCTGAGTGCTGAAATTAAAAGTGTGTGCCACCCCCGCCTTGTTTATAAGCTTCCTTTTGAATCAAGTTTGACAGGCCTGTTCCTTTGCATAACACAGCTTCCTTTCTCCTTTCCAAACTGCCCTGTTGTCCCCTCTAAGGAGCTAATTTTCTAGGAGGTCTTGCCGTTCCCATGCCATTCTTCTATCTGAGCTCCCTTCCTTTCTGAGCAACTCAAATCACCGTTTCAGAGTGGTACAGAAGCAGATTCTGTAGGCTAAAGGCCCAGTTTCCATCTCTAACTCTCATGCACTACAAGGTTCTCCACAGATACATCTCGCCAACAACCATGATTGGGATTGCACTTGAAACTGCCTCTTATCCTCATGAGGCAAGACAAAGAAAGGGGCCTCAGGAACAGAGAACAGAAGATCTGGAGCTGGCTCACCAGCATCCCTAAGCATCTGGTCCAGCATTAAAAGAACACACCCTCTACAGCTGATTTCAATCCCATGCAGCTATCTTACCTTGAATCGTATGTGGAAATGGTAAGGAGAAACTAGGCTTAAAGTCATAAATCCAAATTGAACCATGGTATCAACTGTACTTTGGGCAAGATGAGTGCACATTTAGTATACTCATCTGTGAACTGGGACTGATAATACTGACGTGGACAATCTCTTGCAGTCATATTTCAGCTTCTGTTTAGGTAACCTTTGCCTGGTGGAGTAGGATTCTAATCACTAGTGAGGGAAGAGGTTTACTTCCCAGACTGCCAAGGCCACAGACTCCTATTCTTACAAGAATTGTATCTTCTCGGATTCTACAATCTATTTCATGACCTTCTGGTATACCTCTTTTTAAATTCAAGGATACAGTGTTTCTGGTATCTACTGTCTATCCCTGTGGTACACAGACCCTTGCTCTACACATGATAGTTAAGAGGATGAAGGGCTGGGTGTGCAGGCTCTCACATCTGTGCCTCTGGCCATCTGAATGCTCACCTGCAGTGTTCTACCATGGTGACCACACTGCTCCCTTATACCTCTCCTTCAGGAAAGGTAGCTCCTGGAGACAAGGGGTATCTCCAGCATAAGAGGCCTTGAAAAAATTCACCTCATTGTTTCTATGTTGACTGAGATGGCTGTCACAGAAGTCAGCCAATAAAAACTTGTCACCTACATATTTACAAAAGGACAGTTCTCTGTTCACAGAGGAGGTACTACTGACCCTGGAGAATCTATAGAATTACACTTCAAGTGAGCCTTCCTGGATATCTTCACACTTTATTCATTGACCTCTACCAGAAACACCTCAGCCAAAAAGATTTGGATAGGACAAATGAAATGAAATGGGGGCTAGCAATAGTCGTGTTACTATTAGATTATTTATGAAGTAAACAGTCAGGGTTGCACTAAGGTAGATAGAACCTCATCTTAAACATCTTACCACAATATTTCTTGAGGTATCACCAAATGTGCTGCTTGGTTTAACTATGATGGACTTTCCTAGGTATTTTGCAACTAAATCTTCAAATGTAAGTGCAGTGTCACTAGGATCTATGAGCCATGCAGCAACTCTGGGATCTAGTCCCACAAAACCTGCAACTGCAGAGAAAAGGGTCATTTAGTATTCCCTCAAACCACAAACAATTATTGCTTTCCCATATTTACACTAAGCAGAATATTTTCCAAATAAGAAATACAAATGACTGAGAAACACTTATAGAAATGTTCAACATCCTTAGCCATTACAGAAATGCAAATTAAAACTACTTTGAGATTTCATCTTATCCAAGTCAGAATGTCCAATATCAATAAAGCAAGTGAGAGCATATGCTGGCCAGGGTCCCAACAAAGGAGAACACTTAATCGTTGCTGTGGGAGCACAAATTATACAGCCACTGTGGAAATAAGTGGGAAGTTTCCTCAGGGAGCTGGGAAGAGATCTACCTCAAGATCCAGTTATACCACTCCTGGGCATTCACCCAAAGGATTCTACATTTTACTACAGAGATACTTGCTCAATCATGTTCACTCCTGGTCTATTCATAATAGCCAGAAATAGGAAATAACTCATATGTCCATCAACTGATAGATAGATAATGAAAGTGTGTTATATTTACACAATGGAATATTATTCAGCTGTTAAGAAAAAAAGGTAACCCAGACCCAAAATAGATAACTATTACATGTTTCTCTTATATATAAATATTAAACTTTAAAGCTTTTGATATGTGTTCTAAATTTAAATAACCATAGAGGTTAGGTACCTAGTAAGGGACCAGGGGGATGGAGAGGATCTTACAAGTAAGGAAAAATAGAATATAGTATAATGGGGAGACAGAGGGGAAGCTAGAGCAGAAGGATTAAATGGGAAGGAGGATGGGAGATCAGGGTAAAGGAGGAAATATGAGAGGGACAATTAACAATAAAGGCCTCTGAAAAGCCACAGAGAAACCTACCGCCATAGAAGCTTACACACACAGACACACACACACACACACACACACACACACACTCCAAGGAAACTGTGTTACAGATACAACTGGACGTACACACACAAGAATTCATAGATTGTGGCAGTATGCATAGGGCTTGCACAGATTCAATCCAGACAGTATCCTAGCACTGAGAAGGGGAAGTGGACACAGGGTCCCTTCCTAACCAAGAAGCTATCTGCAGCTGATACCTGCTGGCAAATGGGGAATCAGTTTTCTACAACGGAATGTCACTGGGTAGATCCACCACATTCTAGGGCAAGTCTTATGGGTAAGAGTAATGAGCTGATAAAAACGAAGTCCATGTGTTTTGTGAACTTTTTTGTTTCATTTTGTTTTGCAATTTTTTTATCTTATATGTTTTGTTATGATTTTCATTATGTGTTTTTGTGGGAAGTTTTTTTTTTCTGAGAGAGAGATAGAGATATATAGATAGAAAGAGAGGGAGGGAGAGAGAGAGAGAGAGAGAGAGAGAGAGAGAGAGAGAGAGAGGGAACATAAACTGGGTAAGGCAGTGGGGAAAGATCTTGAGGGGAAACATAATAAAAATATATTATATGAAAAAAATCAAATAAAAATAAATAGCCCCCAAAAGGTTAATTTTCCAATGACTAATACTTTTTGCTAGTCTATCAAATTATAGAACTAAGTACCCCTATGACTATAATTTCTTTTTTAAAAATGTATTAAGTTACGATGACAAAATTTGTGCCCTGTAATTAATAGAAAAAAACAGTCACACTTAACTATATACATATAGTTAAGTTAATATCACATATGTTCTAAATAATTATTTAATTAATGTTATATAGTCTTTATTTAGATGATTTTTTTCCAGTCATTTTCAAATTTCTGAGCTAGTGACCTGTCAGGTCTATCTTACCATGGAAAATAAGACTTTGTGACCAAGAGGAAAAAAAATAATTTCTTTTTTGTATGTATCTGCATGTGTGGTCTGTGTGTGTGTGTGCGCGCATGTGAGTATGTGAGTGCATGTGCAGGTGCACAAATGTAGAGGTCCGTGGCTGATGCCAGGAGTCTTCCTCAGGCACTCTCCATCTTATTTGCTTGTTTGTTTGTTTGATTGTTTATTTATTGGTTTTTCAAGACAGGGTTTCTCTGTGTAGCTCTGAAGCCTGTTCTGGAACTCACTTTGTAGGCCAGGCTGGCTGAACTGACAGAGACCCATCTGTCTCTGCCTCCCTAGTACTGTGATTAAAGACCTGCGCCACCACCGCCTGGCTCCATCTTATTTATTGAGGCAAGGTCTCTCAGTTGAACCCATAATTCCTCAGTATGGCTCTCTAGCTAGCCAGCTTTTTCCAGATATCCTGTCTCTACCTTCTGAGTGTACTGGAACGGTAGACATACCATAAAACCTATTCAACATTTACATGGGTACTAGGGACTCAAACTTCAGTGTTCACACTCACACAGTAAGCACTTTATCTGCCATGCCATCTCTCTAGCCCTCTTCAAGAATATCTATCTACCTTGTGGGAAGTTGACTCAACACACCCAGTATCGATACACTCGATACATGGCTGGTTGATTATGGTCATCACATCAAAGAACTGGAATCCAAACAGCTGGGAAAGGATAGGGAGTCCAAGCTCACTTGGAATATGAATCTCTCAATGAAGTCAGAAACTTGGTCCCATGTCCCTGTTTTTCCTTCCCCTCAACTGTCCTCTCCCGAAATGCGCTTTTCAGACATTATAGGTGATAGGTCTTCTCTTCTACTTTTTCCTCTATCTCCTATCTCCCAGACCACTCATAATGCTTCATCATGGTCAAAAAATCATGCCTCCTGAGTCAAGGAATAAGGGTAGTAGTTACCTGAACCCACACAGTATCCTGTCACTGTATCATTTAAGCAGGTAGTGTAGGCCAGGCAGAATGGTATTTCCTGACATAAGATAGTCCTATGAGACAACTAAAAACAAAAGGTACTGATCTTTAGATAAACTATAATCTTGGATCATGTCACACTAAATGTCGGATAGCATGGCATTCTTAAGTTATTATACTAGTCAGAGAGATTTATATTTACCACAGCAGTCAGTGTCAAGACTTCTCCAGATTATGGCCAAGACAACTGATGTAGACATATTTGGAACTTTCATTTTGGATGCTTGTGCCCCCAGGACAGCAATGTTTGACTTCACATGACACTGCCGGGTAACACTGACTGATCTCTGATGTTCCAAAGGTAAGAGTTCTCAGCAAGATCTTTTGAAAAGACCTTGGAAATTTGACAGTACCTAATGTTCTGGATGTTAATCCCTGTAAACTTTTGAAATTGACAAACAGAAGTCAGACAGGACAAATCCCTATTTGTAGTTTTTTTTAGGTCTGTCTATAGTGTTCTCCACAGTGACCACACAGATTTACCTTTTCTTCTCTCCACCATTTATTTCAACCTAATAGGTATGTTTTGTTCTAGCACTCATATCTTTGATGGTTTATAATATTGACCTTTCTTGACTTGAGGGACTTTGAGCTGCTATATACATGCCCCGAGCATTTCCTGCCCTGCACTCAGTCATTTCCCAAGGAACCTGTTTCTGTAGTAATGTACATACATAAGTATATCTTATTTAAATATTACTAATAATTAAATAAGCAATAAAACCAATCTACATGTTCACCATGACCATTGTTTAAAATATTTTTTATCAAACTTTGCTTGATACAATTACTCTGTGGAACAAGTTATTATTTTGAAGATATAAGTAAAGAGAGATAGTCAAATTTCCATCTAGGTGTTTCCATCTCAAGTTCACTTAGGCAGAGAATGAAGGGATCCTCTCTATAGAACTAATCTAGTTAATGAATGAGGAAAATGGACTCGGATTACAGCTCAGTGGTCAAAGTGCTTGCCATTCAGGCCTGAGAACCAGAGTTCAAATTAACAGACCCATGTAAATGTCAGATATGTGTGGCAGCATGCCTGTAATTCCAGTTTCAGAAGGCAAGAGATGGGGTTTCCAGAGTAAGCTGGATAGTAAGACTGTCACATATGCCAGCTCTGGGTTTGACTGAGACCATACCTTAGTGGATAAGGTAAAAGATCAATTAAAGATAATTCCCAGCATCAACTTCAGGTTTCCACATGAATGCATATATGTGTACATGCAGTCCACACATGTATGCCTCCATACATACAAACATACACACATGAAAATGGAAAAAAGAAAAAAAATGGAGAAAATATAATGGATTTTGGATCTTGCCAGGTTGCAATTAAGGAACCTAGACAATGGCAATCAACAACTTCTACCATCACAAAAAAACAAACAAGAGTGTCACAGGACAAGTGTAGGAGCTGGAATACTGTCAGGATAGCTAGTAATGCAGAAAGATTACTGCTCACACTGGGGAAGGTGATGGAATTGCCTTGATTTAGGATGCTCATACAATTGAAATATTAGCACTTAACCTTGTGTTGTTTGAGATTTGTTACAAAATTCTAAGGAGCTGGTCGTTTGAAAATGAAGAAAAATCAGTTGGATGTCGAATCTTGATTAAACTGTGCAGAGTAATTTTGTGTGTGTTAGAAATTTATTACAATAATTTTTCTCAACACTTTATTATGAATATTTCAAAACTCAGATAACTTGGAAAATTTTTACAACTAAAACTTAAGTTTTTTTCCCCTACTCTCTCTCTCTTTCTCTTTCTTTGTTTTTTTGTTTGTTTTTTGTTTTTGTTTTAAGACAGGGTTTCTTTGTAGCCGTGGCTGTCCTGGAACTTGTTCTATAGACCAAGCTGTCCTTGTACTCAGAGACCTGCTGCCCTCTGCTTACCAAGTACCTAGATTAAAGGCATACATCACCATGCCCAGCTACTCTCCGTACTCTCTTAAAGATAATAAACACCCTGCCTTGTCTGATGCTTTCTGTGATGTAGTTTAATTTTTGTGTTTATAGATACTGGTGGTAATAACAAAGCCCACTGTGACTCTGCTTGATGGATCATCCTTCCCCACTTATGTCACCAAAGGAGTCTAGACCACACAGGAGGGGACTGCATTTTTATACTCATGGCAGGTGAAGAAACAGTGTCTGTGAGGCCAGGAGCAATGCAGCATGGTGGCCTGGCGACCTTTCTAAATCTTCGGGACAATTAGAATGGTGGCTTACCATGCTTCCAACTATCATCTTCACCAAGGAGCTGCAGTACTGTCCTCACAAATTCCTTGGCATTAAAACAAACAATGGGGCATTTACATCTAAGTGTCCAAAACAGCAAGTTCCTAGACAAGGAAAAATTCATCAATTTAGACAATAATTCAAATCTTGGAAAAATACTGTGATATTAAATAACTAACTATCCTTATACAACATACACACACACATATATACACTTCATTAACTATATATTAACATATATATATATGTATATATATATATACACACACACACACACACACACACACACACACACACACACACACACCTCATTAACTAAAGACTCCTGTGAAGTGAGCATTACTCAGGGCTTATCTTTGAGCAAAGATTCTACTCCTGAAGCTCTTATGCAGAGTACACACACTGGACCTGGCCCAGGCTCTTCCAAGTATTCTACCTCTCAGTAGGCCAGATCTTTCCTTCTGCCATTTCACTGTGCCACTTCTACCCATGCCACTGGATATAGCATATGTTCCTTCCTGTTTATTCTTCTCCTTCCAGAACTTGTGCAACCTGCTCGAGGGCTGTTGTAGGCAAGCAGCCTATCCACACGCCTATCAGAGAAGGACCCACTTGTGATGGACTACAGCATTCTTCCATCATTCCTGAGCTTCTGCATGTGGGGTAACAGTTAACACTTATGTGTCCAGGTACCAGGCTAATATTTCTCAAGGTTACTGCACTAAAGCTTAATTACAGTGCTACAAGGCAGGCACTCCATCCAGTAAGCAGATGAAGGTACTTGAGTTCAGAAATGTCATATCTAATAGGTGTTAAGGTTGTTTTCTGATACTATATCTTGCTACTGCCAGGAGATAAACCCTAAACCACCAAACTGTAAGTTCCTTTTCATGGCAGAATGCAATTCTACATCTAAAAAGCTCTTTGATGGAACAAGAGATGAAGAAACCAGAAGTTCAGTAAGCAAGCACACTGGGTGATGTGTAGTTGGGTTTTGCTTGTATGGCTCCATTGACAGCACTGTATAGTGTTTTGAAAGTTTCATGGTCTGACTTTGTTAGGACAGGAGGCTAAGATGGTAGGGAGGTCAAAGTGCCAACAGCACTGGTTCTTGGCTTAGACTGGGGAGGGAAAGGAAGGAAGAAGTGAGGAATAATGGAAAATGGGGTGTGAGGACCTCCCTGACACAGATCTAGGATGAAGAGATCTGGCAGCTACACTGCCTTCTCCTAGGGAGACTTTCAGGCTGGCTGAAGTCAATATTGATAAGTCAAACAGCAGAAGTGTTTCTTGTGGGCTGGGAGGTGGCTCAGAAGAAAAAGTACCTGCCACACAAGCATGGCGATCTGAGTTCAGATTCTGTTCTAGTTTGCTTTCTGTTGCTATGATCAAATACCATAGCTAGAAGTAACTTGGGGAGAAAAGAGTTTATTTAATTTTAAAGGTTATAGTTTATCATCAAGGAAAGTCAAGGCAGGAACCTGGGGGCAGAAACTGAAGCAGAGACCATACAGGAATAACTGCTCGCTGACTTGCACCTAGACTCATGTTCAGATATCTTTCTTATACAGCCCAGACACACCTGCTCAGAGGTGGTGCCATCTATAGTGGACTGGCCCCTCTTATATCAATTAACAATTAAGAAAATGCCTTACAGACATGGTCCGATTCCAAGCTGGTCAATGCAATACTCGAGTTGAGGTTCTTTCTTCCAAGGTAACTCTAGGTTTGTGTTAAGTTGACAACTGAAGTTAACTATGACAGATCCCCAGAACCCATGTAAATATTTTGTGGCCTGCCTGTAATCCCAGAACTTGGAAGGTAGCAATCCCAATGGCAAGCTGGCTAACTAGATTAGTTAGAATAAACAAGTTCCAAATTCAGCAAGAGATCCTGTCTCAATAAAATAAAACGCACACATATGCATGTGCATGTGTATAAACATGTCAACACATGCAAACACTTATATACACTATATATGCAAAATTTCTTAAAACATATTTATTTATATGTTCATAAAGTATTATTTAAGTTCATTTTTAATCCTAGATATACTACTGTAGAATTGAGGCTATTATTCAAGTTTTATAGTACATAAGGGACTATTTTTCCTAGAACTTAACATACTTCAAAATGATGCTGGATAAATATTATTCATTTGTTCTGTGGCAGTGCTTCTGAGTGTGGGGTCATGAAAGAGGAGGGAAAAAATCCTGCCCTAACTCTCAGCAAGCTTAGTAGTGGACATACAATAAACAAAATAAACAATATTTATGAATGGTGGTGGTAGTGACAGGCATTATAAAGAAATGTGAAGATGGAGATTGTATAACTGCTGGGCTAGAGTATTGTTTTATCCAATAAAATGACATATGAGTAAAGATGTGATAAGTAAGTCTAGTTGATGAAGAAAAGTTCTTCACAGAAAGCTTTAATAAATGTAAAGAAAATTAAAAAGACAGAAAAGCCACTATCATTTTAGACCCAATTAAATAAAGTCTATTTGGTTCACAATTGCAGCAGCAAAGTCCAAAAAGCATGGCACTGGCTTGGTCAGAGGCCCCTTGAAGCATCACAGCATGATGGACAGACAGAAAGGGAACCAGCCAAGGATAGAAGGGGCCAAGCACATGGTGGCCTCACCTCACAACAGCCCACTAGTGTGAAAACTCACTTTGAAAGACCAGCATGAATCCATTCAAGAGGGAGGAGCCCCATGACCTACCCATCACCTGCTGAGTCTATTCTCTTAAGGGTCTACCACCCCAAAACAGCCACCCTGGGACCAAGTCTCTATCAGCAAGACTGTTTGTGCCACAAAACACACCCAAGTCACATCTTCAGACAGACATTATCCTTAGTGATACTGAAGACAACTTAGTGTTTTCAGGCAGTGATAATTTATACTATACTGTACAGGAGGGAACTACAACACTAGTGAAAAACACCTGAAACCCTGGTAGTGGCAGTGGGTTTTCAGGATGAGGTTTCCCCCTAACATCTCATTGCAAAGTTATTACAATACTTGGCATCTTGGCATCAGGATGGATCTTCCATTCTGGAAACTCTGGGAGAGGAGAGCTTGGAATTCCTTACATTTAATGTAAGGAATAAAGATTTCTTACCTGACAAATAGACTATGTGCCTCTTTGTTGGAGCCCCAGAAAGAGGAGTGCTCAGTATGGATGTAGATACAGTGATCTGCAGATGTGGAGTCCTCTCCCAGAACACTACCGTGGGCTGGGGAAATCAGAGGGCTGCTGTCTACATGGATTCTTAGTAACACTACAATTCCTCTAACAGGACAAGTTAAAGTCTGCAAAGACAAAGTAATATAAAGTCACAAAATTAAACAGATATATTGCTTTATGAGAGCAAGCTATACGACAAAGGAGTAACATCTATAATACTTAAAAAAAATCTCTGCATGTGCATTTTAAATTCGGGTCCAGAAATACCATACCACACATGTGGAGCTTAGAAGATAAACTTGGGTATTGATCTTCATTTTTCACCTTGTTTGAGACAGGGTCTCTAGCTGCTTGCAACTGTGTCTGCCAGGCTAACTGGCTCCTGAGCTTCAGGTGATTGATTTTCTTGTATTTGCCTCTTATCTTACCATAGGAGCCCTGGGATTACTAATACATGCTATGGTGTCCAGCTTTATAGAGGTTCTGGGTATCCACACACACGCCTTTATGCTTGAACAGCAAGCACTTTATCTACTGAGTCATCTCTCCTACCCCAACTGACTTTTCCTTTTAGACAGGGTCATCTTTCTTTCTTTGCTTGTTTTTCTCTGTGAAACAGTCCTGGTTGTTCTAGGACTCATTCTGTAGAGGAGGCTTGCCTCGAACTCACAGAGATCTGCCAGACTCTGCCTCCCAAGTGCTGGGAGTGCCACCACTGGGTGGCTTTTCTTTTTAAATGTTTTTTACTAATTGTCTGAGAATTTCAAATAAGCATACCTTATATTTTGATCATACTCATCCACCCATTCCCCTAGCTCCCCCTAGACCCACTTCCATTTCCCATCTATCCTGTTCTGGTTTTTTTTTTCCTAACACACTGAGTCCAATTTGTGTAGTCCATACACTCGTGTGTATGGACCATCTACCAGAGTATGGTCAACCTATCAGAGTCCACACCTTGAAAGAAAATTGCCTTTTCTTTTCTCAGTAGCCACCACCTAGCAATAGTTTCTCAGCTAGGGGCAGGAGCTTGGGAATGCCTCCCCATCCATGCTGGAATATTGGTGGCTTGATCCTGGGCAGGGGCAGCTTGTGTTGGCAACCACGGCTGTTAGAGTTCAGCAGTGCTATAATCCAGTCACTTCCAGTCTACTCTGACCTGTAACTCTTAACAATCTTTCTGTCCCTGTTCCATAATGTTCCTGAGCCTTGGGGGAATCTGATGTGATACAGACGTACCATTGTGATTGGAGTTCCACAGACACTTGCTCTCTGTCCAGTTGTGTGCTTTTATGTTAACCACCATCCACTGCTCAAAGAAACTTCTCTAGTGAGGTCTGAGAGCTGCACTAGTCTATACTCTAGGTATAGAGATACAAATTTAGAGGGTCATTCCTCTTTTCTGAACTACTAAACTATGAAAAGCATAATTTGTCTTCCTTTTTTTAAATTTTGTTTATTTATTTTGGTTTTAGAAAAGGCTATCTCTGCATAACAGCCTTGGCTGGCTTGGTATCTTGGAACTTGCTTTGTAGACCAGGCTGGCCTAGAACTCACAAAGATCCACCTGCCTCTGCCTCCTGAACGCTGGGATTGAAGGCATGAGTACCACCTGGTACTTTTCCCTTTTCTTTGTCTCTGTTCGAAGTACTCTTTCCCCATCATTTTGGGATTCCTTACCATTTCTCTAAAGTGCCTCTTTGTCATGTGGCAGCTTACCCACAATGCAGCTGAGCTCCATGCTGGCCTAACTCAAATGCCCTGGCTTTCTCCTCTGTCTCTATCCTCTATCTCTACCCTCTTCTTTATCTCCACCCTCTGGGCAGTTGCCAAGATTTCAGTTTTCTTGCTTTTGAGTCTTTCTTTTAAATTAAATTGTCCTTAAGAATAAGAAAAAAAAGCTTCCCCACCAAAACATAAAGATTCAACCCAATTTGTATCAACCCCCAGCTGGATGGCTGCAGAAATTGATGACAATATGAAATAGTGATAAAATTTATATGGAAATGCAAAGGAACCCTGATAGCTAAAATAAACTTGAAAAAGATCAACTCAGATGGAAGACAATAGAGTCACGCTTTCTGATTTCTAAAAATATTACAAACCTCAGTAATCAGGATAGTGTGGTTTCTGGAATAAGACAGACACAAAGATTAAAGGAAAGAACCAAACATATGAAAATCAACCCTTAGAGAATGGGGTGAAGTAGCATACACTTACAAGCTTTCTGAAGGCTGAGGCAGCAGGATGGTCAGAAGTTTGAGTTCAAGGCCAGCATGCAGTATACACTGAAACTTTGTCTCAAGCAAAACAAAAACAAAGCAGGGAGGTGGAAAGAGAACCCAATCAGCCCTTAGATCTACAGCAACTGATTGTCAATGAAAAGTGTTACTATGGTTAATTTGATTGTCCACTTGACTGGATTTAGAGCCATCTGTCTATAAGGATGTGTTTAGAAAGGCTTAAGTGAGCAGGGAAGACCCACCCTAAATGTGGGAGACATTGTTCCCTGCCTGGGTTCCTGGGATAAAGACAGTACAAAGAAGTCAGTTAAGACAAACATTCATCTATCTCTGCTTCCTGTGAATGCAATATGACCAACTATCTCAAATTTCCACCACCATGTCTTCTCCACCAAATTTTGAGCAAAACAAACCCTACCTCCCAGTTGGCTTTGTCAGGTATTTTCTCACAGTAACGAGAAAACTAAACAGTAACTAATAAAAGCACTAAGAAAATTAAATAAAAAAATATTTTCAACAAATAGAGCTGGGATGACTGGATAACTGCCTGCAAAGGGTAAATTTCTGTCCTTATCTCACAGCCTATAAAACGATTAATGAGAATGGATCACAGATTTAGATGTAAGAGTTAAAACTACAAAACACTTAAGAATAAAACTGGAGCAAATCTGCTTGACCTAGGAAAGACAAAGCAGGGACAGACAGAGACAGAGAGAGGGCAGAGAGAATTGCATGCACATGAATGTGTGGGTTTATGTGGAGGTAAGAGCAGAATGCCAGGTGTCTTCTTCAACTGGTCTTTTTGTTACTGCTTTGAGATAGGGTCTCTCACTGAAATGAATGACCGGTTTTATCCCTGTCTCTGTCTCCTAATGCTGAGATTACATTCAAGCAAAGCTGTGCCCTACTTACTCTGTGACTGCTGGGGATTTGAACTCAGTCCTACATACTGGCAAAGCAAGTGTTCTTGCACACTGAACCATCTCAAGTTCCAAACATTCTGAATGAAATAACAAAAGCACAAGTTTTTGAAGTTCTTTAGATTTAAGGGTTTTTTTTCTTTTGAAAAGGTACTCTTAAGAAATCTGAAATGTAAATCCACAGATTGGGGAAACTGCAAACCACATATCGTCGAAGAGACTTGAATCATATAAAAAAACATATAAATAACTCTTACATATCCAAAATAGAAAATATCATAAACTAGTTAAAAATAGGCCAAAAAACTCCTTGGATTTCACCAAAGAAGATACATGAAGAGCAATAAGTGTATAAAATGCTTAGTGTCATTGCTGTTGAGCAAATGCACTCCAGAAGTACAACAAAAATGTACAAAAAAGTACAACAAAAATTTTACACTCACAAAAATGGCTAAAATAAGAAGAGAGATACTTTCCATCAGGTGGAGAATTTGACACCCTCATGCATTACTGGTAAAAGATGGAATGGAGCAGTTTGTCAGTAACTTAGAACTGACAGGAACCCTACATTGTCAGAATCACTTACAAAAGTAAGGGTGGCAAGGCTTAAAATCTTATTTCTAACTCTCCTATCAAAATCAGAAAGAGGATTTGCTTTGAAATGAGGTCTCACTGTGTTTCCCAGGCTGACCTCAAAATCCAGAGTTCAAGTTATCCTCCTGCCCCAGTCTGTCAAGTGCTAGTGCCACAGGCATGTGTCTACTATTTACTAACCTGGTTGACTCTGAGCTGTGAAGAACCATCCTTATACATCAGTGTCACAACCAGAGTTTCTGCCTGCTTGAGCACATTCATCAGCTGGACTTTTGCCAAATCATCCAAATATCTAACATCGCAAAACTGTTTTCCAAACACTGTCATGTCCTCAGACTTTAGCCAGGTTTCAGCCCCATCAGTACTTTCTTCCAGTGCTATCTGTTTACTTGCTTTTTCTGGGGAATTACTACATGTAATGAATTTCCTTTTAAGATTTAATCTTCTCTCATCTTCTTTAGCCATATTCTCCTTTAGGAAGTGCTTTCTTGTATACTTCATTTTTTGTAAGACTGGTGCTTCCTGATCACTCTGTGGAATTAAACAACTGGAAAGAGTCAATGAGGCGGTGCTGTTCTGTACTTGACCAACAGAGAGATGACTTGTGAGCTGAGTAATAGAGGACTGAGGAGAGAACTTGATGGATCCTCTTGGTGACTGGGTTATTAATGACTTAGGGTTCTGCAGAAGAAGAGGGAAAATATTTTATCACAGCATATATTCACAAGACATGTCTATCAACCAAGTGAATTTCTGATACAGTTTACCAGAGATAATGAGAGGACACAAGTTTCACATTATCTATGATATTTCTCTTTTCTTCTTCTGTGGTGTCTGCTGAACAAATGTTCTACCATTCACTGAACCACCTCCATCCTAGAACCACATTTTCCAACAAAGCTAGATGGAGTCTTTCCAGACTATATAGCTGGATCCTGGGGTTAGCTCAGAATGCTTCCTCTAAGCCCCTGTGCTAGAAGTCATTCATCTCAGAAGACAATGAACAAGAGTGAGGCCTGTAATTTGCAAATCCAAGTAGAGGCCATAGAGAAAACGAAATTATAAAAACTACTTGGAGAATAGAATCTCCACCCATTTCATTAGAAGATTTGTTTACAATGGTACTTTGTGTTTTAATATTCGTTTCCAAATTATAATTTATCTCTTGCTTTAGACAACTGTACATTAACATTATTTTAAAAGAAAATGTCTTAATAGTTGGTCATGTACCACAGAAAATTTAACATTTATACCCATACTTTTACTGAAGAGAAATATTTTATGGTTCCAAGAACAGACTTTTAGCCATAAAATTATATTAATTAAAAATTCTGTGGAGGAGTACTCAAGAAAAGGAATTCAATAAGATTTCAGACTATTGAAGATCTTGTTCGTGTGTTTTTTAAAGGGTGACAGTAGATATCATATTGCCAGAGTGTACTTTATTTGAATCACAGTAGAAGTATTTTAAATTTTATGACAGTTTTTAAAATGTCAATATTAACAATATACTAAAATCGTGTTCTTTGCAATTTTAGAAACTTACGGTGAATGTTTTAAATTTCAACTTTAAAATATTTCAGGAAGTATAAGACTTTTTTAAAATCCTAGGGACAAATAATCAGTAGTATTAGAGATAGATCCTGACATTATCTCTACTTTACTACAGGGAGCTTAATTTTAAATTAGGTTGAGGGTTGGCAAGATGACTCACTTGCCACCAAACCTAGAGAGCTGACTAAGATCCTTGGCAACCGCATGGTGGAAAATAATCCAACTTCTGCAAGAGGTCCTCTAATCTCCACATGTGCTCCATGGCATGTGCATCTTCCCCAACAAAACTAAATAAAAAATACAATAAAACTTTAAAATAGCTTTTGCTGGATATAGCACTGTATGCCTATACTTCCAGCACCTGGGAGGCAGAAACAGGCAAATCTTCATAAGTTTGAGTCAATCCAGTCTACATAGTGAGCTTCAGGCCAGCCAGGGCTACATCGTGAGACCTTCTCACTAAATAAATAAATAGCATAAATATAGGATGCCAGCACATGGTGGCACATGCCTTAAAACCCAGCACTTGGGAGGCAGAGGCAGGTAGATCTTTTTGAGTTCAAGACCAGCCTAGTTTACATACCAAGTTTGAGGACAGTCACAGCTGCATAGAGAAATCCCGTCTTGTAAAAATAAAAAAGAGCAAAACCCAAAATAAGCCAACCAAACAAAAAATTAGGTTAGAACCTGAACAAGCAGTTTGCACCAGAGTCCATTCTCTCCACCGTGAGGTGACCTCCACCACTGTTTCCTAAACAAGGCCTTCAGAGACATGACCTCTTCTTTTTCATGTATAGCCCAAACTGGTCAGCTCACAAAAGTTTCAAGATCTTCTTCCTTAAACACTCTCAGTATCCTTCCCCTCCTCTCTGAAGCTGGGATCTTCAGTTTGGCCAACCTCTAATGATCCATTACATTTCAACTCAGAAACAATTTTCATGCTTCAGAGAGATAGCCTGCTTCAACGTCCTGCCCCCACTACCCAGAAATGAAAAGTGCAACAGCACAAAGCTTGGCTAAATATTCCTCTTCTTGGTCTCAGGGAACATGAAACTAATTGCTATCACAGCCAGCACTTAATGCACACATGGAGCAGATGTGTGGGATGTTCCATCCTCCTCACAACCTGTCCAAATTAAACCACGTGCTACACAGAATAAGAACGTTTTTAAAGCATTGTATCTGCAGTTTTGGCATATACCAGGATGCTTATTAAATATTTGTTAAGAAATGAGGATCCTCTGTTTAGAATTACTCATATTTGCAAAGATTTACCTTTGTTTCTAGTGATTGAGTCCTCTCATGTTCAGCTAATACTGAATAATGAACACTGGATTTTTTGGTCACTTTCGAAGCTTAAAAAAACAAACAAAAAATTAAACATTGAAAAATAAATTGAACTAGGAATGGTGGTATATGACTGTAATCCCAGCACTTAGGGAGCAGAGGCAGGTGGCACCCTGTGGTTTCAAAGCCTGTCTAGTATACATAGGCAGCATAGGCAGAACTAGAAGAGCCAGGGTTGCATATAGACCCTGTCACAAACAAAATAAAATATTATAGAATTAGCTAACCATTGAAAATGATTATTATTCATTATGTTATTTAGCCACTATCAGCACAAGCAAAACACATAAGACTATTGTAGTAATTTGTTACATAAAGTGTCTTCAAATTAACAGAAGACATGTCTATATAATTATGAAATGCTTATTTGTTATTACTTGAAGTTTATATTTGAATTTTGTTTTGAGACAAGGTTTCTTTGTGTAGTCTTAGCAGTCCCAGAACTAACTCTGTAGACCTCAAACTCACAGAGGTCTGCCTACCTCTGCTTCCCAAGTACTGAGATTAAAGGCGTGTGCACTTGAATATTTTATTTTGAAAACCCAAAGTTAGCATTTTGGAGACATCTTATAAGTACTAAGCATTTGAGGAAATTATTAAACTGAATAATACTGCCATAGAATAACTCAGGAAGGAGTTCAGGAAAATATCATTGATACAAATACCTAAATTAGATTTTAATTTTAATAATCCTGGGCTGGAGGGCTGTGTAAGTGACTGTTTGTAAAATGCTTGCTGATCAAGAATGAAGACCTCATAGTTTGATCTCCAAAACTCATATAAAAAGCTAGGTATGATGCAAACTTAGAATTCTAGTGCTGGTTGGTGTGAAGACAGGGTCCCTGGGTCTCATTAGCCATCTAGTCTAGCCTAAGGTGGGTCCCAGGTCCCAGTGAGAGACCCTACCTCAAAAAAAGACAAATACCTGGCTCCTGAGAACATATGGCCTCCACATGCACACACTTGTGCACTCACACAGAAACAAATTAGCTAACTAACCTGAGCTGTGCAGGAAGAAACAGAACAAGACACAATTTAGACATCTGTGCCCACAGCTATTTTGACCGTGTTTCTGTGTACATGGGCCCACTTGCTCACGTGTTCTTCCAAGGTTCCCAGAGCACTCATGGGAAATGGAGTGGACAGAGGCACTGAGAATGGAAAAGGTGAGCCCATGCTTGGACCCTGTATTGATTTGGTTCAGATAAGTCACTGCAAAGGTAGGCATAGTAACATATATCTGTGGTCCAATATCTTGGGAGTCTAAGGTAGAAAGATCACATGAAAGACCAGCCTTGGCCACACAATGAGATACTAAGAGAAAAAACCATTACTCTACCTTTCAGAACATGGAGAGTTCGGTGTTGTCAACCTGCCACCAAGTAACTACTCATAAAAGATGATGCCATTGGGGAATCTAAGCTCAGTCTCTGTTGTTGCAGAGTTGAACATTTGACAGAAAAACAGCTAAACCAGTGCTGGTTAATGGGCCAATGCCTAAAGGGCCAACCCAAGTCCTACAGTTACTAAATTCAAAGCAACCATGTGTTAGCACTGGGACAGCATGGGACAGAAGGTGATAGTGCCAATTGGCCAAGTCATTCTAATAGCATGGCTGTTGGGTGCAGCCTGTGGTGGATGTTCATAGGTGGGAGATACTTTAAGACCATACAATGGATTTAGTCATATGCCTTGCCTCAAGAACTCCCAGTGCCAGACCTCTGACCTCTCTTATTCCAGATTGGTCAACCTTTGTCTGTAGGTCGAAAGTTCTCTAACCTTTGTTTCCCCATTCATACAATGTGGATAGACAAGTAAATCACCCAAAGTTTTATCTTTTGGATTTATCTTCAACATGTCACCCAGGTCAGGTACATCTGCAGTCCTTTTTTTTTTTATTTTTCACATTGAGACAACACATTATAAGCCAAGCCATGCAGGTCTGAAACTAGGCAGCCAGTTGTGCCTACTGGTCTGCTTATAACCAAACCAAACAAACCACTTCCAGTATACAATAGATTGCTGCACGCCCTCTTGATGCTCTGACAGAATGGGGCAATGTTTGACAGATTGGAATTCAAGGTTATTTGGATATGCTTAAGCTCCATTTCCACAAGGAGCTAGTAGCATGGCAGGGTGGGGGAGCATTTTTAGTTTAATTTTAATCTTTTAAAAGATTTATGATTCTCTGATGATGATGGCATATCCTTGCTTCATGTTCTTGAAGTCTGAATTATAATTCTCTTAAGACCCTAAAAAACACACACCTATTTTTTTTCCCCACCTCTAATACCAGAAGGTCTGTTGGGCTGGCAATGCATTATGACTGGGATACTTGCTCCACTGCCTGGACTTCATTGGAACCCTGTCTACTTTAGGTCCTACACAAAGCAGGTGACTTTCATATCATTCACTGTATGAGATAGAATACATTCACAAATGTGGGATATATACCTTTATTCTTTGAAAATTTTCCATCAGGTTCAGGTTCTGGGTCTTTTCTTAGTGGTGGAAGGAGTAAAATGCTGTCATTTGTCTGTTACTTACAAGGGGATACCCTACTACTTCCCCTAAGGCTTCTGAATCACTTAGGGTTTATCTTCCACCCGTTGAACAGCAAGACCCCTGATAATGAACATTTTTTTTTTCAAGGTTAGGTTTCTTTGTATAGCTTTGGCTGTCCTGGAACTAGGTCTGGCCATGACCAGTCTGGTCATGAACTCACAGTGATCCGCCTGCCTCTGCCTCCTGAGTGCTAGGATTAAAGGCGTGCACCACCACCACCCAGCTGTAAGATGTTTTATGTTGTCCATCCTAAGTGAATGTGAACTTCGTTACTTTCCTTACTGCTTATGTATCGCTGACCCTGCAAACACTTGGCACAATGCTAAACTTAGTCAGCAGAGGGTGCTGGAGGAACATTGCCAGGAGATGGACACCTTCCCTTTATCAGCACGCTACTCCAGCTTTGTGGGTGGGGGAGGTAGCTGCTCTCCTTCTGTTACTTAGATCTTTCAGAGTTCTCTTTATATGTCTTGGTGGATAAAACCCATCTAGTCAATAAAGATCTAAACATTCCCTGTTCAAATTACTATGTGATTTCTATCCTGAGTGGATAAAAATACTCCTTTAATAAGCCCAGTTCTGCTAGACTAGGAAGGAGAAAGAGATGAAAAAAAGAAAGAAAAAGAAAGAAAGAAAGAAAGAAAGAAAGAAAGAAAGAAAGAAAGAGGAAGGAAGGAAGGAAGGGAGAGAAAGATAGAACTTATACTATAACAGTACATATACACTCTAAAACTTTCAGACAAAATGTGTGAATATGTAAAACATTTTAAGAAAAAAGTAGGACAATAGACATCGGGTTTAGTTTTAGATAACCCTTAAGTATAAAAAAATAAAGGGGTATGCCGTTTTTTCTAATACAGATGGCCCTGGCACTGCTTTCAAGCAGAAGGACATTAGGGCCTGGATCTTCAGCTGTCCAGGCAGCCTAGACATTGCTTAGTTATATGGAAAGGGTTTCTGGGTTCTTTGTATATCTGAACTCCAAAACCTCCAGAACCACTTTTAGAACCATTTGTTTTTCACCCTTTATTCAAATTGTACTTTGATAATTCACTCATCTTCCATCTCAACCTACTCTGGTTCCCATACCTCTTCCCAAAGCCTTCCACTTAAACAATTGTATTATGAACACATGATTAAAAAGAAAATGTTTGAGTTTGACTTCTTCAACTTAATATGATTTCCAGTTTCATCATTTTCCTTGCAAATGGCAGTTCATTCTGACTAAGACTACTGTGTGCATATACATTTCCTTTTCTCATCTGTTGATGGGTGCTCCCTTGACCATAAGTTCTATTGGCCTAGAAATTTTGGTTTCCAAAGGGTCGGTGCTCCTGTAAGGAGACACAACAAAAATTTCATTGATCTGAAAGTTCAATACTTTCCCCTGGCCACTTTGAGTTTCTGATGCCCTTAAACCAATGGGATAAGAAAGGAATAACAGTATTAGGAGGAATGGTTGATTTAGATTACCAAGGGGAAACCGGATTGTTTCTCCACAATGGGAGTAAGAAAGATTATATCTGGAATGCAGGAGATCCTTTAGGGAATCTCTTGGTGCCACCATGTCTTGTGACTAAAGTTAATGGGAAACTATAACAGCCTAATCCAGGCAGGGCAGCAAAGGGCATAGACTCTTCAAGAATGAAGATATGGGGGCTGGAGAGATGGCTCAGTGGTTAAGAGCATTGCTTGCTCTTCCAAAGGTCCTGAGTTCAATTCCCGGCAACCACATGGTGGCTCACAACCAACTGTAATGAGGTCTGGTGCCCTCTTCTGGCCTGCAGACATACACACAGACAGGATATTGTATACATAATAAATAAATAAATATTTAAAAAAAAAGAATGAAGATATGGGTCACTCCTCCAGGAAAAGAGTCAAGACCTGATGAGGAGCTTGCTGAGGGTGGAGAAAATACTGAGTGGGTAATAGAGAAAGGTAGCTATAAATATCAGCTAAGGTCACGTAAGCAGAAATGAGGATTAAAATTGACATGTTTGTCATATTCTGTTAAGAATGTGTTTGTACAGATATTTGTGTTTTCTTTCCCCAGTTCTTCATCATGGGCTGTAACATCAATTAAGAGAACATAAGTGGTTATCATATTTAAGTTTGAGAATGTTCCCTCAAGTGATATTGCCACCCATTCTAAAATTCATAATTTGTGGTTGTATGAGGGATAGTTATATCACATTAGGCATAATTATGACCTGGTTAAATATATAATATGTTTGCAGTTGTGCATGGGATAATTATATCATGTTAGGGGTGATTATGAGCTGGTTATTGTTTTCATTTGGAAATTAAGCATGACACAAGGAGATGCAATTGTGTCAAGTTGACAAGGGGTGGACTTGTGGTGGCTATTCTTGGTTACCAACTTGACTACATCTGAAATTGACTAAGCTGGGTACAACCTTAAGGTGAAATTAAACATTTT